GAGAGAGAGAGAGAGAGAGAGAGAGAGAGAGAGAGAGAGAGAGAGAGAGACGCAACCAAGATCTTATTTCTAAAATTGCGACGTCATGCAAGTTACCAACCTCTTTCAGCATCAAAATGATTGTATCTGTTTTGTCAGGCGGTTTGGGTTCACGTACTCAAGGAAAAAATATATATATATACTTCAAGCAAAAAAAACTAATTGGGAAATGCCCCCGTCCATCACCGGGAGAAGGTTGGCTACTGCGGGCCAATCACCTGGTCAAGCCACCGGTCTTTATGTACCAAATGCCCGCAGTAGTGAACTTTCCTCTCATTGTCGTCTCACGGCCTCGACGGCAATTTAAGGCTTTCGATGTGTTGCTCTGTCTTCTCTCACCTGCCATCCTTGCTCGCTTTCTCTTACCTGCACCCTGTTATTCTGTATTCTGTGTTGCCCCGTCCCCCATTGTTGTGCGATGTCGTAAGTTTCTGTTCCTGTTCACACGTGTTGGTCAACAAGGAATGAGAATGACGAATTGCTAAGTTTTTAGCAAGAAATCGAATCGTTTTTACAGGATAGTTTGGAGAGAGAGAGAGAGAGAGAGAGAGAGAGAGAGAGAGAGAGAGAGAGAGGCTACTGCGTGCCAAAAGTGAAAGGAATGTCATTGTCGACCACGTAAATGTCACGCAGTAGTGGACTTTTGGGGACACAGTTGTTTCGCATGTGGTTTTCACCGCTTCATAAACTCGGTCACGTTTGACATAATATTTCTCTAAAAATGACAGAAAGAAAGAGACAAATGTCCTCTCTTGTTCCCCTGAATTTCTTATGAAACAACATGGCTGTCCCGTGATGATTCCAGCTAGACAGACTTACAGAATTCATCAGACTTCTGATGAAGGCCGTTACGATCTCTCTCTCTCTCTCTCTCTCTCTCTCTCTCTCTCTCTCTCTCTCTCTCTCTCTCTCTCTCTCTCTTAGCAAAGATAGAAACTTTGCAATTGTTTTTTGTACAATATGTACCTGTTAAAAAAAAAACAGTCCTCACGCTGTATTGCATGCTACTTCGATCCCCATTGTGGTTTACAGAAGCGTGGAACAATGTGAACGATGTCTACAATAGTGTCGGTTGATACGACGCTGCTGTGTTGATGCCCATTTAACTTCTCCCATTTCAATTTCTTGCATCTTGTCACGTGTTGCCGTTCACTGTCGACCTCCTTGTACCATTGCACAAATCCGCAGCTGTGTTCCATAATTCCGTTGTTCGTCGGTGCGGCCACGACAAAAAACATAGCTACTGATGCAAACCATGTGCATTCGTTTTCTGCTCTAATTGCGATGTCACTGTGCACTGGTCTCCCATGAAACTGTGGCGACACTCTTGCAGTTTGAACAAGTGTGCCCCTGTTTGTTCCGTCCTGTACACAGGCGATGGCCAGGTGTGTTCGTGTGTGTATAAGCAGGTCATAAGAAGGAGGTTGACAACCATTCTCCACCATGTAGGTCGTAAGCGCTGCTCGAAAATCACATCTGAAACGAAGCTCTTCGAGTATCTTACACGCACGGTTGTCAATGCCTTCTCCCTCCCGTATGTGCTCGTCATCGATGTCGAACCACCGCAATTGCAGGATTGTCGTATCGCGTAGTGCGAGGGTATTCATTCCCGTGGCCATGCAGTCTGTCATAGACGATCGGTTCTCGACCATTCTCTTCCTCCGTTTCCTCACGATCCCGGTCTCTTCTTGCAACACCAACGACCTGCGTATGTGGTTCACCATCTAGGTTGAAGCTTTCCGCTTGTTTGATGACAGGTATGACTGTTTGCAGAATTTCCTGTGGTGATGCTCCCAAACGTCTGTTGCAAAGGTGTCAGGAACACCGGATCGCTCAATACACGTTCTCAGATGCATCAGATCGTGCAACTTGGGGAGTTTCCATTCCGATGGTTGATATCTCCCCAATTTCGCTTTGATGGTCGTAATGAAGTCCGTGATCAAAGCGTCGTATTCATCGAGCGAAGCACGAGTGTGTGTTGTGCACCGAAACACTCGTACATACATTTTCATCAGTTTCACAAAACAAAGGGTGATGCCCTTGCCTGTCGAGCGCGGGATAATATTACAAATAAGGAACACGCACACTGCCATCACAGACCGGTTTTGCTCCGCCTCGAACTGACCCTCCCTCGAAAAAAAATCGCTGCCAGTGGCCACCGACAACACAAGTTGGGGGTATGTCCGCGTGCATCTCTCACTAACGCTCTGCAACCTGGCATCTAGTTCCTTGAGGATCTCTGTTTGTGGTATGTTCGGCAACTTGTCAAACGCTGCCGTCCTGAATGCGTCAATCATGTGCAGGCATATGCCGTGCTCGATTGTGTGCATACGGTCTGGCTGCAATGTCAGGTGGTAGTCTAGCTGAGGGTCGTCACCATTGGGGCCCTTGTAGAACCCCCAAAGGCCGTTCTTTTGAACATGCCTATGCATGTTCAACTCTGACATTCGTCCTTCCGCTGCACGTCGCACGTCGATGTCGTCAGATGTGAACACAGCTGCTGTGAGGTGTGTTTCGAGCGTCTGTGATCTCCTGCAATTCGTGAAATCGGCTAGGACATCAAAGTCGGTTTTGGACACGGTGCATGTCGGGCATACGCCAAACTTCACAGTTGCAAGCGCACATCGTTCTGGGTAGTCTTGTATATAGTTGAGGAGGAAAGGGTAGACAGTTATGTCCCCGAATCGCGTTGTCGGTATCATTATTCCGTCATGAGATACCTCCTTCGCAGACTGCAACACCACTGTAAGGGCCTTGTGCAAAATGACGGCCTTTCGCTTTCTGAATGTGGTGGACTCTTGACCCCATCCTTTGTCACGTGGACGACGATGAAGCACAGGAAGATAGGCCAGCAGTGTGGCTTCGGATGCGTGGTCGGCTAGGGACATCATCAGAGGGTACGCCGTCTGTTGTTGACGATCGTCCGTGTGTGTCTTGTCAGAATAGAGCGACAGAGGGATAACATAACGTGGATTTCCATTCCCGTCCACACCTTTGTCTGCTCGAATGATCGACTGGATGTGATAACTTAGCGCCCCGCTGTGCGGGCCAGATATACTGAGGTCCTCTGACGGCGGGGACACCTCTAGAGAAGACACCGTCTCGCATTTCTGTAATGCGATACTAAAAATCGACAGAAATGGGTTCGCCAATTGCGGTGCCACAAGATGGCGTGCACATCTCGTGGTCAGTCGTCGCTACGCAGAACCGACTCCTTCCATCCCGCAGCCTCCGCTAGACTGCCTGCCCATGTCAAACACTCTCGACTATTACGGTACGCAATGTCTGTCGTGCTGAATCTTGGGTCTTTGAGAAGTGACAAGAGAGCATCTATGTCACTCTGCGACATACCGACGCTGCCCCTGGCAGAGAAAATCAGTGCCGCAAGCTTGCGAGAGCTGACAAAATATTCGGCAGGCGGCAGTTGTTGCTCTGCGAATGACCCGCCCTCCCCGTCTGCGTTCTCGGGGGCTCCGATGTCCTCGCTCTCATCGCTCACGAGATTCACTGCACCTATGTTTGATGGCCCGTAGACGTCAACAACACCCATTTCCTGCCCTTGTGCTCTTTCGTCCAGCACAGTCGGGCATGCCCTCGCACGATGTGAATTCAAAGTTCGTAAGGACATGAAAGGCCTGCCACAGTCGCATACCCGTGGACCGCTGTCCATTTTCTGTGCATGCAGTCCATCCCAAAGATAAACAGAACGGTGCAGACAGTGCTTTGATTAACATTTTTTATATTGGTTGAGGTCGTTCGAATTATAAGTTGTACAACATATTTTGTTATATTATGTAAGTGTTGCCCTCTTCTGTGTGTGAGAAATAGAACGATGGAGTCTTGAATGTCGTTTTGGGAACTGACTGTCTTTGTCACTGATCCCGATTGACAAAGATTAGCAGTCAGACGTGTGACACGATAATGTATATGCCAGGACAGGTTCAATGGTCCTGTTGGAAAAGACAACGACTTGCACAAGGTACACGATATGTGACATGACATTCATCACCACGTTTGTGCAGCTGGTTAAGTTTGCAACTATCCATCCATAACGTTTGTGAATGTGGTATGTGTTTTCTGCGTCTGCATCAAAATTATTGCACACCGGCACCTCAGCCGACCTCCGCATCCATTGCCAAAACATTTCACAACCTGCAAAATTTGAATTGACATCATAAAGAACGCAAAAAAAAAAAATTAATAAAAAACACAACATACACACATTGGTCATCATAGGGGGTGTGATGTGTCTCACGTGCTACAGAAGGCAACAAATTATGACATACATTGTAACAATCATCAAATGATTGAAATAAAGTTGCACCAAATGTCTGGATGCTATTGTGAACCGCATGTACTTGGAGAGGCAAACAACAGGCAACACGACACAAAACATGTAGATGGATGTTTAGGTTGTACTATAGCTACAACTAGACATACGAGAGAGAGAGAGAGAGAGAGAGAGAGAGAGAGAGAGAGAGAGAGAGAGAGAGAGAGAGAGAGAGAGAGAGAGAGAGAGAGAGAGAGANAGAGAGAGAGAGAGAGAGAGAGAGAGAGAGAGAGAGAGAGAGAGAGAGAGAGAGAGAGACATGTTCACTAGTGCGGGTCAGAACAACAACAAACAGCACCGGTGGATACTTATATGGCACACAGTAGTGAACCCGACCGTGGTTGAGGGATGTACAAGTTGAGGGTTGTTTGTACAACTACTCCATTGCTATATGCTATGCATGTCTGTCATCAGGTTGATTGCGAACTATGGCGTCTCCTGTTGAGAGATGTCGTGGCCGAGCACCAACTATGGCGTCTCCTGTTAACAAGTCGGGGCTCAATGTCTCTCCGCAAGCTGTCGCCATTGCGCCGTGTATGAGGCAACTCAGGTTGATTCCCCATGTCAGTGACGTTGCTAGCACAGTCTCTCTGTTCACCAGAACAAACCATTCCTTGTCAACACGTGACCATTTTTTTCCCTTGTTGCATGCTTGCATTATAGTGGTGACTGCGGCATACTGTAGAGCACCGTCAGGTGTTGCCCCCTTCATCACAACACGCAGCACATTGTGTGGATCGGGGAAAGCACGTGCCAACCTCAGAACTGCATGTGCCCAACCTTTTGACATTTGTCCACCCGCCCCCTTCAAATCATAGTAAACATCATCTTCCTCGTCTGCCTCGTCGCTGCTGACATCGCTGCCGCTCACCTCCACGTTAGAAGACGATGCCTCCTCATCCTCTTCTTCATCTTGTTCTATATCTTAATTGTCTGTGTATATTGCAAGACAACTTGCCAAATCGGCGTCTTCGAATCCAACATCACACTGATCTCTCTTCATAGTGTTAGCATTTAAGATATCCGCAAGCAGTACCTCCTCTGTATCTACTATCTGCATGGGAGGCACATCGACTGCCATACTGCTTATTGATTCTCCTGTTGCTGATGTCTCTCCGTTGTCTGGAATGATTGCTAAACTTGTTTCCCTGGCGATCAACTTCCACCCTTCTTCTCTTTCTCTTTGTCTCTCAACATCGCAACTTGCAAGACTGAGTCGGTCCAAAACGCGTGACAATAAGTCCCCCCACAACGGTCTGTCGGATATGAAGTCGTCTTCTCCTCTCGCTGGCACAAATTCGATCAGATCTTTACCCTGCAGTGCAAACTCTGTCACTTCGTGCAACGCCTCGTGGATGACGTTCTTGTCCTCATCACTCTTTTTCATGAAATTGCAGAGCTGATCCAGTTGAACATATTCCACACCATCTGCAACAATTACAGGAACATCTTGAAAGTCCTGTGGTGGTGTTTGTGTGATGTCCTTCATTCTGGACAACACCAAGATCTCTGCAGCACCACTTTTCAACTCGTCCTTGGACCCATCAACAAGCATGTCGGAGTTCTTCGCCACAGTGCCCAACAACTTTTTGAAATTTGCAGGTGCATATGTTCCCCCTTTTTGGTGCATTGTCATGTCCACATCTCCATCTTCGCACATCCCTTCGTTGCACATCCACTGAACCACTCCTTTTAGACTATAAGGACTGTGTTCCACTTCGTTGTCCAACATACATGTGGTGACTCTCTGAAGCGTTGCAAGAGCATTCGTGCCTTGACACAACCCTCGTCATTTGCCATGATTGTGGATCTCATATCCACACTGACTGCGAAGTACCTCGGCACCCTCTCCTTCAGCAAAGAGAACTCGATGTCACCGTTGTAGTGGATGCCCTCCGCTGCATACTTAATTACCTCAGCAAGAGTCTTCTCCACCTGTGCTACCGACATCGACATGATGGTACAGTTTGTCTTTTGTCCTCTTCTCTCTGCCAGGCGAAACATACAATGACGTCATCGACATGCGTGTGTGTGTGTGTGTGTGTGTGCATGTGCATTGGCGTGTGTGTGTGTGCATGGTCTGTGCATGGTCTCCTTGTCTGTGCCCAAGTTGGCTACTGCGTGCCATTCCAAGTCGCAACGGTGATGATTCCTCAGATTCTAGCACGCAGTAGCCAACTTTATTGCTGCATGCCAGAATGTGTGTTTGTGTGTGTGTGTGTGTGTGTGTGTGTATGTGTGTGTGTGTGTGTGTGTGTGTGTGTGTGTGTGT